CGCCGCCGCCGCCAGCTCGCCCGCCCTCCGCCCGCGGGCGTCTGCGCGAGCCCGGCCGGCGGGGGAGATGTGCTCGGGCTCCGCCGGATCGGTTTCTCGGGGTTTGACCAGCTGTCCCGGGCTAACCCTGCTCCTCGCTGAAGATGGAGGAAGTAAAAACAGGATTACCCTTAGCTCCAGATCCACTGCCTTAGTTTCCACCACCAACTGCAGTGCACAAACACACGTTAGGCACAGGAAAGAAAGAGAGAGGACACACTAACAGTAAACACAAACAAAAGGGTGATGGGATTATTTTACTGCATGCACTGCTGAGGTAAATCTCCGCTTGGCTTTGGTGTGGGGAAGAACAGCTCTTGTTTTGTCTTCTGATTCATAGATTATATATATATATGTCTATGTAAATGTGTGTGCTTTGCAGAGGGGGGAGTGTTTTCAAAGTTGAGTGTAATTATGTGGCATCTCGTTGGGCGCTGTGATGTAATCAAATGACTTGTTGCTGTTAATCAGGAATAATAGTAATGATAGAGGTGTTTTTCTTGGGGAGGGATGGATTGTGGTTGCGATTAGAGTAACGATTTGTGTAAAGGACGCTCAGGGAATCGGGTTGGAGATGCTGTCCTCTGCCTTAATTTATTGTCCCCCTCGTAATCTGTTGCTGGGATGTTAATCGATTAATCAGTTCTCATCTGTATAGCTGTCATGGATTTGGACTTGTTTTGCTTTGTTTTAACTTCAATCCCAAGAAGAAAGATTGGATAGCCTGGAATAAATTGCAGCTGTCCAGATAGAAGGTAATATACAGTTCCTGTTGGATTGAAAAAGCGAAAAAACAAAGACAAAAAAAACTAGCATGACACATGTAAAAAAGGCGGCAGTTAAATCACTTTGACAGGTTCTAGTATGGGCGAGAGAGGTGGTATTAAGATTTAATTTTTTTCATTCTTTTCTTTCTTTTTTTAAAATGTCTTTTCCTTTTTTTTTTCTCCTTCCTGTTTTCTTTTTCTTTCTTTCTTTCTTCTTCTTCTTTTCTTTCTTTTTCCCCCAGAGGCCAAAATCAGCCCTGTGAAGTTGGCCTGGGTTCCCACTTGGGTTCAGCCTGAGTGTCCCTCCCCTGTTATGCCCCCTCTTTTTTTTCTTTCAGTTTTCTTGTCTTAGCTTTTGGTCGATTCTTAAGGAACCGGTGGATCAAGTTTTTCTCTTCTTGTTAATCGCATTGCTGTAGCACTGACTGACCTCTCTCTCCCTCTCTCGCTCTCCCTCTCTCTCTTTTTCCTCTTTCCTGAAAGTACGTGGTGCCATTCTTGAGTGACTTTTCCTACTAGACCATCCCAAAGGGACGAGGGGGAGGGGTGGAGGAGGACGAGGAGGAGGAGGACGAGGAGGAGGAGGACGAGGAGGAGGAGGAGGAGGGGGGTGTTCCTTCTCTCTCATTTCTTGGTTTTGTTTATCAGCCGATCTGTTTGCTGGATTTGGAAGCTTGGAATGACCCACCTGTGAAGTGCTTTTCCTCCCTCCTCGCCTTGAACTCTGCAGGGGGCTTGGCTTGAAGGGAGCCAGGGAGGGAAGGAGAGCAGGGGGACACAAAAAACTTCTTTCTTTCTCCGTTTATCTTCAGCCCGACATTGTCACCTCCTCTTTGAGGGTTTAGAAGAAGCTGAGATCTCCCGACAGAGCTGGAAATGGTGATGAATCTTTTTTAATCAAAGGACAATTTCTTTTGTATGTACATTTCGTTTCTCTTTCTCTTTTTTCTTTCTTTCCTTCTCTGAGGGTTAATAACCATTTCACTGATGGAGCAGACAGACTACTTTCGCTTCTCCCTGACGTTTCTTTCCTTTTAATATGTGTATGTTAAATGTGTACATTTTTGAAGAGATAAACCCACTTATAAAATATCCGAGGAAACTGCTCTTCTTTTAAACTTTATGGATCCCTTTCTTTAAAGCCTTATGTAATCATAATTTGAAAGAATGTGATAACAGGGCAGCAGGTTGAAATATAAGGGCTATGTAGTGACTGAGTTGGGAATTTGATCTGATTATTCCATAAAGAAAGAAAGAAAAGTTTTTGGGGGGTGGGGGCTAGGGAGGGTGGTGGTGAAAGAGGGGAGGGGAGGGAGAAGGGAAGTGGTTTTGGAGACAAGAAGTGAAGCTGCCTGTTTTCCAGTAAGTAATGGAGAAATTCCAGGAGCCCAGGCTAAATATACTTGGCGATCAATACAGAAATGGCTCATTGTGAATAATTTAGCTGCTGGTGCTGTGAGAGTTTTGAAACTAAAGGCAAAAAGGACCAGGGCCAAAGGAAAAAAAAAAAAAAAAAGTAAAAATCTCTTCAGCACTTGTCAATTCTTAAACTTTTTTTCCTTCAAAGAATACAGTTAGATTATTGATCTTTTCATTATGTGAATCAGAGCTAGGGGGTGTCATCTCCTACAACTTTACTTTTATTTCTGTCAGTTAAGTTCTGGTTCCTGTCGTTGGTGCCTAAGAAAAATGCCCCAAACTTGAAAAAAGTGATTCCCTCCGGCACAGCTGAAGGTAGCTGAAATTTTCAGAATCGGAACATATTAAGCAGACTTGGCATTTATATCCAACCATGGTCTGGCAGGAAATTAAGGGTACATTGAACAGGTGCTTACCCAGAACCTTAGGGAAGGCTGAAATGCCAATACAAGTCTGAGAGTTGGCTCACCGCTGCTGCAGGAGTCTTCTAAACACAGTTGGGCAAGAAGTTGTTTTGTTTTCTTGTGTTTATTTGTCATCCCCCTCCCTCTTAGAACATGATGAACCAACTTGCAACAATTGTGAATAGAGCTATCTGTATACTGGGGAAGTCCTCCAACTGCAGTGTGATTGTGGAGAGCGGTGAATGGTAAAACACTTAAATCCCGTTAACAGTGGCACATTCAAGGTGTAAATCCTCCCCCCACTTTTTTTTTTTCAGTAAAACAAGTCAATTTTGATCAAGCCATGCCTTTCTCGCTAGAGCCCATCTCACAGTACCCTTATCTTTCCTATCCTATCTCCAGCAGGAATCAGATCATTTGCAGAAAGAGTTCACTGACTTGCAAATGAGCACACACAGTACGCAGGAGTGTGTTTCTTGGGCACAGGTTGCAGCAGCAGCGTGGACTAACTGCTTGGAGCTTCCAATAAGCTAAGAATTTAATGGCAGATACCAAGAGGAATCATTGTGTTAAGGGTTTAACATTTTGTTTTGCAGCACTGCACTTTGACTATGGAAACAGAGGCTATTGATGGCTATATAACGTGTAAGTATTCATTTTCATTAATTTGTTACTGGTAATAAGGTTACCTTCACATTACCTGTATTTTAATTTCTGAGTTGTCTTAAGAATTCTGTGTTCTTGTTTTCTGTTCACAATTTTATCTTTAAATTGGAGAAAAGAATAGCACCCAAGTGAAATAAAAAGGAAATACAGACTATTTACTTGCTGCTTATTAAATTAAGGGTGTTTAAATCAAACATTTCAACACTTTGCTACTTGATTTTTTTTTTGTATTTAAGTTTTGGATATGCCAGGTTAAATGTATCTATTAGTATGGTGTGTACTAAATATTTTCTACTCTGTGATCTAATTCTTCCGAACATGTAACACGAAAGAATCAAGAATCTATAAGTTGACATTTTTTTTAGCAAGCTCTCTTTTCAAATACTTATCTTCCTAATGTCCTGCATTTTTAGAACCGCTTATTGTAAATCCTTTTATGTTTAATTATTAAATTAGATGTTAAACAAAAGTTACTCTTTTTAACTAAAAGATTATTTAGAAATAAGCTGCTCCTTTCCCTCTTACTTTGCTTGAGACATTTTGATAAAGTTTTTTAATTTCTTTATTGCGAGATGATTGTGGTTTTTATGAAATTGTCATTTTGTACTTGTAGGGGATACTTTCGAAAGATATTTCCCTACAGCTTCTTTTATAGGGAAAAATGCATCACTTAAAAATTCCAGACTGCATGCCACTGTATAAGAATGTTAGTAATTAGAGTTTATGTGACAATGAACAGAAACCAAAAGATTTTGTTTTGTGAAAGCAGGTGACAATGAGCTTTCACCTGAAAGGGAGCACTCCACCATGGCAATCGACCTCACCTCAAGCACACCCAATGGACAGCATGCCTCACCAAGTCACATGACAAGCAGTAAGGCTTCATTTTATGATTTTTTTTTTTCTGTTCCTCTAGTGACATATTTGAATTTGTGAGGTCTGCGGGGTCTGCTTCTGTTGTGGTGTGGCTATTGCTATAGATTTTGCTAAAGAAAGAGCAACACAGATTTATCACTGTTCATTCTAGTATCATAAAACATGAGCCTGATTACTAGTCTGAACTATCCCAAGGTGGCATTTGAGAGCTGGTGCTTACCTGTATCAGGTAAGAAATGGTAGGCTTTGCTGGTTATTGTTTGGACTTGCCAGGTTTATGACTGGATTTGTTGTTGTTGTTGGATAAAAAAAATATGGAAACATGTCACTTCCAAAGGACTCTTCATAGTGAAAAAAATGCAGGAATTTTATATTGTTGTGGTACAAAGCTAAACCATCAGGGGTGGAATTGTAGTATTACTTGTGTTTAAAAAATGTGATAGTTTGTTCTTCTGACCATGGAGTGACGTGTAATTGAAAACTTATAAAACTCCTTTCTATCCATTTTTCTGACAAAGTTGGAAGCGTTTTATTTCAGAATGCACAGAGAAGAAATGACAGAATTTGGAAGCATGTTTTCAGCTGTAAGAATAGACGATTTTGCTACTGTTTATAGTAAAGTGTTGTTCATTGGAATAGTTAATGCATTTGGGTGATCAGAAAGCAACTTGTATGCTGTCAGGGACAGAAAACAAAATATCTTCATTTATTAAGAATGTGGTATATCTTCTATTAATTACAATGTTGTGTCAGGTTAGTTATCAAATACAAGTATTCTCTTATTCCTACCCAAAAATATTTGTAATCTTGTTTCCTTATATTGTTGTTATATATTTTTTCTTATATAGAAAGGACATGTGATTTATATGTAAATGTAATACATTTTCGGTGACATGTGAAGGAAAGTCAGAGTTTTTCCTTTCTTTTTTGAAGATTGAACAGAGACACCGAATCCTCTACTTAGTCATAAGCTTACTCTTGAGTTCTGATCATCTGTGGGAACTTTTCTTTCCCTCTTCCTCTTCCAGCCTTCAAAACTTGTTACTGTAAAGCTTACAGCTTTACTATTAGTGAAGACTGGTGAATTATAAGCAAAAACATACAGACTTCTTTTCAGTACATTTTGTAATTCATTAATTTTAAGGAATTTTAGCTAGTTACGGGAAATTATGATTGAACTGTTTGAATTTACTTTATTGAAAAGTGACCCACATTTTTATTAATGGAGAGAACAAAATTTCATCCCTGGCACAGTCCTTGAAATTTCTTTATCATGTAGAAAGGCAAAACTAATCAAATTGCTGACTGAAGTATACTAACATAGTGTGCTAATCTCTTATAATGATCTTGTAGCATTCATTTTTTTTGCTTGATTTGCTAAAAGTTATACAACTATAACAATGTAGGCAATAAATCTTTTTAATATTTTAATATTTAATGTTAGTAGGTCTTTGGTGGGCTATGTTTTTGTTTCTCAGAAAGTTGTTCATGTGATTTCCTAAGGAGTCAGGATAGATTTCTGTATAGTTTCTATTTGCTAAATATTTCATTACTGGCTTTGGAAACAGTGCCTATATGGAGTAGAAAGTGTCTGATAATCAGTGACTTGATTGTTCCCCCCTGGTCACCAGCAGAATTATCAGCAGGAAACCAATTAACTAATTAATTGGCTCTTTGTTTGTTAAATGGATTCTGCTTTTGTAAACACTTATTTCAAAAAGGCAGCTCACTCATCTTTTAAAATAAATAGTCCAAAGTGTAGGCATGATTAAGTTGTACAAATAAGAACTGGGCTTTTTACATTTGAACTTTTCTCATTCGACAGCAAGTCAACTTCTGTTTGGTAAAGAGTTTTCTGCGTGTGCTTTAATTTTCTAGCCTTTGGCAATTCCATGTTAGTACAGTTTTTGGCTAAGCTGAACATGTTTTCAGGTTCTTTTCCAAAGAGTTACAGGTTAAATATTTTGGCTCTTGCTTCAGAGCTGTGTGTTGCATCCTTTCTGTAGCCTCTATTTACAGTATCTAGGTTACCCACTTAGGTGTTAGATGGAAAAGATACCCATTTTTCCTCTGCTAGATCTAGGAGAATATCAGCATTTTAGATTGCCAAAGCAAGTAAAGGTAGAGAGGTTCTCTTGTTTATTAATTAGAACAGAGACCTAGAGTCAGCCACTCAGATGGTTTTCTGTGACCTGGAATAATTTTTGTGTGCGGGAGACCTGTCCAATCATTTGTATCTGAGAGCACTGCTTTGCCTTATCTCTTTACACACACTCTTGACTTTGTTAAGTGAAAATAATTTATTCTCAGAATTTCTTTCTGTGTTCAAATTTATTTCCTAGAGGGCGGATGCTTCCAAACACAGAATTACACTTCTTGGTTCAAAGAATTAGAGCCAAAAGTAAATGTGAAAACAAGAGTCTGCAGTAGCAGGAAGGAGAGATCTTATGTGTAAGGAGGAAAAAGTTATTTTTAAATCATTTATAAAAAAATAAACCTCTGAATTTTATGTAACATTCTGTCCTTAAACTATCAATACAGTGTATTAAGCCCACTTCTTTTGGCTTTAGGAAAGTGGTCAGTCTGACTAGAAGGTCTCGGTCATTTGTTTAGGGTATTTGGTAGCTGCTGAGTGTTGAAGGGCATCTGTACAACTTGCTGCCAGCTATTGTATAAAAAATAATGACAGCAGCTATCATTATTTGACAGTGCTAGAAGAGAGCACTGGCGACTTGGGAGAGAACGAAAACTGTTATAATGCCTGACAATTTTTTGTTTTAAAATTTAGTGTACAAGATAACCTTAAAAAGAAGTAAGAACTATTAATGGTGTTTACATTTTACAGTGACTCCTTCCGATGTTTTAGAGTGAAGTTTCAGAGAAAACTTCGACTTTTTCTTTGGGAGTAAAGATTGCTTTGATGAGAGCATGGGCATTGTGGCTGAGATCATTAGTGTACATGTTGAGTCTGCTGACAATCTTCGGTGTCAGGAATGACAGCATATGCCTTGATGGCTACTGGAAATACACAGTGTTAAGTGATTGTAAAAATAGCATCTGGAAGTTAAAAATCTGACATAGACAACTCAGACAGAACAATATAAAATACAGTGTTGTGGCCCGTCAGGGGAAAGCGACTGCGATTTCTTCTGGGTTAGCTTGTTACCAGTTCTTGCCCTTGTCGCTCAGTGTTGGCCTCCATACCTGCTGCTTTCTATTGCCAGAAGTTTTTAAGGTTCCAAAAGTTGCAATTATTCATTTTTTAAAATATCTATGTTTATAATGCCCAGAAGTAGATTTTCTGTTCAGGGAATTACTTGCATGATGTGAAAATACATCATGACCCAAAATGTGCTTCTGCTACTTTAAAACCTTTAGGTGGGTCGGCTGTGCTGTCACTACTGTTTACCAGTCAGCTTGTTGGCCAGGTGGCATGTATGGCATTAGAAGAGGTAGCAGTTCTAGTTTTACAAGGTTCTGACCAATAACCAGGTCAAGGAATTGTGTTTATTCTTTTCATAGTGCTCCATTTCAGTTTCTTTTCTTTTCTTTTTTTTTAAGCTAGTTTCCAGTTTTAGAATCCAGTGAAGCAGAATATATTATGATTTCTATTTCCCATATATAGAAATTGAGGCATGATGAAATCAGTTTACCTTTTAGGTTGCTTGGCAAAAAGATGCACATCTTAAAAGTTGTGCAAAAAAATGGGATATTACTTTTTGGATTAGTTAGGTTATTGGCATCTCTGCGGTGTCATCTTGACAGGATACCCGTCATGTCTGATACTGACCCGTGTTTTAGTGACAAAAGGAAATAGAAGTGTGTTAACAGGGTGAAGTGATATCAGATAATCCTGTCAGCTGGGCAGTCTGATGTGCCTTCTCCAATCTACCTTCTGTCATGGCACTCAGCGGCTCTGTGACTGTCTTCCATAGCTTAGTTTGGTGGTCACCCTTGGGTGGATTTCCATAGGGCACACCTTCCTGTAACACCTGATGGACTCAATGCAAAATCTAGCTCTGTTTAGAGTCATAGTACTTACATCTTGGTGTACTTTACATTTAGTTTTTATAGAAAGGTGTGATTTGATTTTTTCCACATTTATTAGAGGTAAGTGTTATGTCTGTGTATTCAAAGAAAAACACTAAAGAAATATACTTGCAAAAAGTAATAGAAAAAGGACCGAATATATGTTTTTTATTTTGCTTTATTTTCCACTGTTCCCCACTCCAGTTTTTAAGGCTGTACTACACAGTGGTGAGAACTAAATCTATCTTTGAAAAACAAAATCACTTCCTGCAAAAGACCTATGTTTGTTACCTCTGCCTTTGCCCAAATCTATTTTTCCTACTAGAAATACTTTTTTAAAAAATATACAATGATTGATTTGTTTTACTGGGACTCTTCCAGTAAGCTAGAATGAATTAAGATCTTGAGGTTCCATGTTCTTTTCCCCTAGCTTTTTTAAAAAATCATTTATTTATTTAGTACAGGGTCTTGCTGTGCAGCTCAGACTCTAGTGATCCTTCTGTCTCAGCCTCTCCAGCATTGGGATTACAGGCGTGTGCTACCGTGCCTGGTTTCAGTTTCCAGCTCAGTGCCTGGCACTGGCATGGCTGTGGTACCGGGGATCAATCCCGGATCTTTGTGCTTGCCATGCAGGCACTTAGAGCACTGAGCTATCTCCCCAGCCCCTCTCCTAGTTTTTTGATACATGGTGTCTTTTAAATATTGATGTGTTTTGAACTTACGATGTTATGATAGGTCGCTTGTAGGGTTACAGTTATAAAATGTAGCATATATTGTTTTTCTTGTTCATATCAAATGTATATTCATCCACTAATAATTTCTTTTTGTGAACACACTAAGGCTTAAGAGTATCTGTGGTTTGAAATACATTGGAAATACTTAGGAATTCTTTTCCTTAAAAATAAATTGTGATTGCCAGAGGATTAACAGAAAGTAGGGAGGTATGATTTATTGAGTGTATAATAAGCT